ATATATATATATATATATATATATATATATATATATATATATATATATATATATATATATATATATATATATATATATATATATATATATATATATATATATATATATATATATATATATATATATATATATACACACACAAGTTTTAGAAACAACAAATAATAACTTCACTTCTAGTTGATCATTTGGTATCAGAATTGGCTCATATGAAAGGCAAAGGCCTCTAGATTATGCTTATTTTACCAAAATAAAATATGATCATGCCTTGACTTTTAATGATTTCATTAGGACAGTAAGGTCTGACTCTGCTTAGGCAAAAGTCTTGTCACAGAAATAATGTCCAGTATAGAATATAAAGTCATGCTGCAGTGGAAACAGAATGAATATTGTGTCTGACTCCATCATGAGCTAGGAGGACTGCATCCACACATCTCTGACATGACTCAAATCACTAATTAATAAAGTCATCTGGAATGGCAAAGACAGCAGGACTCCCAGAGTTCATCTAGAGTCTTTGGATTCATCTTCGTTGCCGCCTCCTCCATCTTACCCCAGACATGCTCAATAATGTTCATGTCTGGTGACTGGGCTGGCCAATCCTGGAGCAGCTTGACCTTCTTTGCTTTCAGGAGCTTTGATGTGGAGGCTGAAGTATGAGAAGGAGCACTATCCTGCTGTAGAATTTGCCCTCTCCTGTGGTTTGTAATGTAATGGGCAGCACTAATGTCTTGATACCTCAGGCTGTTGATGTCACCATCCACTCTGCAGATCTCTCGCACGCCCCCATACTGAATGTAACCCCAAACCATGATTTTGTCTTCACCAAACTTGACTGATTTCTATGAGAATCTTGGGTCCATAAGGATTCCAGTAGTTCTTCTGCAGTATTTGTGATGATTGGGATGCAGCTCAACAGATGATTCATCAGAGAAATCCACCTTCTGCCACTTTTCCAAATGATCAACTAAAAGTCAAGTTATTATTTGTTGCTCTTACATTAGATTCACGACAAGACTTGAGTCAGGTAGTGTACAAATAAATAAATAAATAAATAGATATATATATATATATATATATATATATATATATATATATATATATATATATA